TGGACAGAAAGCGACATAAGTGTTTTGGATTCAATTGCTTGCTAAATACAAAATGGTGTAAGAACAGAGATGACAGTCTTGTCACCTTCAACTAAATAAATAGGAAAAGATAGTCAGCATAAAGCGAAATGATGTAAGTCAGAGAAACGGTATACCAATTTGTATTTGGTTGAGAAGTTGTAACTGAAATTTGATAATCCATGTGTCTAAATAATTACACATACACACATTGCAAATATGATCGATAGAATTCGACCTGCACTCAGGACTAGACAACATGAAATTGGTTGCACTCTCGTGACCAATCAATAAATGTAAGCCAGTCCTACAGGAGGTGAATCGCGGCCCGAATAGCTCAGTGGTAAAGTCGCTGACTACAACACTGGGTGGCGCGGGTTCCAACCTCGGGTGGTACGTCAGTTTCTCGAGGTTGCAGATGCGCCTTGCTGACGAGTTCCAAGAAGCACAAAACCTAGGTCAAGGGCTTCCTGCCGATTGCCTCCAACCAACTAACACATACGTATATAGATATTAATATCTTTCCAGGGTTATGATAGTGTTGAGATTTATTTCGTTGTTCCGTGATGTTCTATGTTACCATGAACATTAGTTTATCTCATTTCCTGAATTGATTGTGAGAAAATACGCTCGTCTTTTATATTCCCTTCTGATTTGCTTTGGACACGGCTTTGCTGTTTGTACTGTTGACGCACTCTTTGAAAGGTGATTCATCATCATCATCATCATTATCAACATAGGACCAGGCATTACTGCGTAACGGTCCGAGTTGCCACACCTCATATCAGCACATCAAGTAAAAAGGTAGTGAGGTGAAGGATGAAGATAAGTGAATGCAGTCAAAAGAAATATAAAGTACGAGAAGAAAGGAAAGAGGAGTGACAAAATAGTGAGATTCGGTATAGCGTTGTTAAGATGAGGATAATGTGTGTATACATCTGCGCCACTGACTTCGGTTCTGAGCCATATCACCTAGGGTCTCCAACCACTGGTTCCTCCTGTCCCGTGGACCCCAACCACCTAGTCTGCATCGTCCTACATGGCTTAAACCAACAGTCAGAGACTTCATACATTGGTGCCATGTTTTAGTCTGGCCACCTCGGGCCTTTTTCCAGCCTGAACCCACCTCAGCCAACATTGTGTGACGAGGCAATCGGTGACTAGGCATACGTAGTACGTGTCCCAACCATCTCAGTCGATGAAGGTTCACAACCTCATCGACTGACTTACCTCTTCTCCCTAAAACTCTACACCTAACTTCTGCATTACTCACATGGTGACACCACGGAATATGTCCTATACTACGAAGGCAACGGTGGTCAAACACCTGTAACCTTCTCATGTCTTCCACTTTCAATGGCCATGTTTCACAGCCATACAGTAGAACAGAGCGGACTGCTGTGCAGTACACGCGACCCTTAATAGACAAACGAATATCACGGCGGCGCCATAGGTGGCGCAAATTGGCAAAAGCCAATCGAGCCTTTTGTATCCGTGCAGAAATCTCATCGACAACTAACCCACCAGGGTTGATCCTATTTCCCAGGTAAGTGAAGTGGTCAACACACTCAACCACTTCACTCTCTATTGTTAGCCGCAGTGCCGCTGAAAACCAGTCCTGGAGCAAAAATTTGCATTTGGGTGGTGAAAATCACATCCCAAACATTCTCAAATTCCCACTCAAAGTGTTCAGAAGACTCTGCATCTTGTCAGCGTCTTCACCTAACAGGACTATGTCATCTGCATATTCTAGATCTAAAGAAAATTCACCTGTGATCGGGTCAACGTCTGTGTAATTAGGTGACGAGAGGGAAACCTCCATAAGAATGTCTATGATAAAATTAAATAAGAATGGGGATAGTGGGCATCCTTGACGGACACCACTTGATGAGTATAGCTCCCTGGACAACTCGCCATAGGCTCTAAGATGCCCACAAGTGTTCGAGTAGAGAGCTTTCAATAAGGTGATGTACTTACTAGGCACGCCTTTCAGTGACAGACACTGCCATAAGACTTCTCGATCAACGGAGTCAAATGCCGCCTTCAGGTCGAGAAATACAGCTATTGTCGGGCGTCTGTAAGCATGCCTATGTTCCAGGACCTGGCGCAGTGTGAATATTTGGTCGATACATCCACGGCCAGGTCTAAAGCCTGCCTGGTTTTCTCGGGCTTGCTGTTCCCGAGCTCCACTCAGGCGTCGGAGAATTATAGAACTTAGGATCTTAGACACTATGTTTGTCAGGCTGATTCCTCTGTGGTTATCACAAGAGGACTTCTCGCCTTTCTTGAAGACTGGGATGATCAGTGACTTAGACCAGTCGGAGGGGATCGTATTTGATTCCCATATACTGGCTAACACTTCCGTTAGCCTGACTAAGAGAACTCTACCACCATTCTTGTATACCTCAGCAGGTAGTCCGTCTGGTCCTGCTGCCCTTCCCCGTTTCAGGCTACCTACCGCTTTCTCAACTTCTTCTAGTGTTGGGGGACCTGTCTCTATGTCCCATTCAGGGTCCGACTGGATAGCGGGCAGCGCAATGGTGGCTGGAGGCCAGTTAAACTGTTCCTCAAAGTGTTCTGCCCATCGTCCCAGTCGCCTTCCCTGCGAGTGAATCGCCGATCCGTCCTTCTCCGCTATAACCTCACTAACTGTTGTTGACCATTTCCCCCCAGTCTCCTTAATAAGTCTAAATAACTGTCTACTGTTACCGATCGCCGCTGCCTTTTCCATCTCTTTAGCCTTTGCTGCCCACCACTGTTCACGATCGTTGCGCAGACTTTTCGTCAGTTTATTTTTAAGTTGCGCTCGCTCTTCATTGTACTCAGAGCCTGCAGGGATGCATTCACGTGCATCCATTAGTTTGGAAGAAGCTGCTGATATCCACTGGCTCTTTTTAGCCATTATCTTGGAGTCGGCTACAGTCTCCAGTGCTGCTTTTACAGTAGACTGAAGATGGCACCAAGCTTCTTCTGGATGAGTGACAGTCTTTTGTTCCGATAACTGCCTAGCCAACTTCTCACTGAACACGGCTTTGGTGTTTTCGTTGTCCAGCAGAACTCGTAGTGGTTTTGTTGCCAAATTTTTTCTACGTCCATTGAGACGCAGGCATATACGTGCTCGGACCAACGCATGATCGCTGTCCAAACACGTACTCCAGAAGGAGCGGCAGTCTTCCACCGATCCTCTCCAGCGATGACTAATAGCAATGTGGTCTATCTGTGTCCATCGCTGAGTCGAGCTCGGTGGACGCCAGGTCAGACAGTGCCTTTCTTTATGTCTGAAATTTGTGCTGGCTAAAAATAGGCGGTTATCTGAGCATAGTTGTAATAGGCGATCACCGTTATCTGTACGTTCAGCTGGGATTCCGAAAGTGCCACCTAAGTGCCTTTCTGCCTCACTCAGTCTACCCACCTGTGCGTTGAGGTCACCTGCAACAACCACTACGTCCGAACGTTTGGCTTTCGAGAGGAGGTTAGACAGTTTATGGTAGAACTCGTCCTTCACTTCATCCGAACTACAGTCAGTGGGTGCGTAAGCAGAGATTACAAAGAGACAACGGCGAGTCTCACTATTCCTTTTAGTTCTCACTGTGCCGTTCAGCCTCATAGCGCAGAGGCGACTATCAACTGGGATCCAGTCTAGTAGTGAGTTTTCTGCCCTGGTGCTTAATGCTATACCTACACCTGCAAGACCACGAGAGCTAGCTATCGAATCTCCAGAAACTCGAAGGGTGAATTTTGCAGATTCACCAGATTGGTCAGGAGAGGTCAGGTGAATAACCACACTTGGGTCCTGTATGCGTGTCTCACAAACACAGCACACATCCATGCCTCGAGTTGCTAGAGTCTTTGCCAACGAAGCCTGTTGGCCAATTTGACGGAGGGTGCGGACATTGAAGGCTCCAATATGTAATTTGGAGCGTGGTTTAAGGAGACCAGGGACGCTGTTCTGTGGACTCAGATCGTTGTCGAAGGCTGCAGAGGTAGGAGAAATTGAAGATGATGCAGCATCATTAATTAAGAGACGTGAAGGAAGATTAGAAGGTAATGATGGAGGAGGAGGATAGCAGTCAGAAGAAACTTGGGTGCTGACAGAGTTGTGAGGGCGGTTGACACTTCCCGGCTGCCCACACCGTGGAAGGCTATTTCTTCTTAAGGTACCTGAAAGAGATTTGTGTGACCGCAGAGCCCATCGGACATCTGCTTGAGGCCTGTCACACCCAGCCTTTTGAGTATGATTATTTTGAATTTTTGTATTTTTGGGGCCGGATGATCGAAAGGAAACGACAAGTGAACCAACACCGCCGGCCCGGCAGACCGTGGGGCGTGGTGGAGTGTGTTATTTTTGGGGCCGACCTTTTCTAACCCCCCTTCCACTGAGAAGGCAGCATCAGCTTGGCACTGCTGGTCATCCAAGGGAAACACCTTACTGCTGTCACACCCCATCCAGCTAGCAGCAGTACGACTTCGCCCTCAGACCCCCATCATAGTGTAGCAATTTACACTATGACGGTAACTGCTTTTCGTCTAACCACTACCCAACAGACCTTTCTGGTATGGTAGGACCTCGAGGGAACAAGCGTTCCACCAGCATAGCTCGTTGGGTCATTGTGATATGCAAGCCCGACCACCACGTCAAGGTAGCAGCTATCGGTCGGGAAAGGTGATTTGATAGCGTTTAACCCATAGATGCCTCAAGATTTGAAGTTTCTAATTCACTATTCACTATGGTTTATTCAGAAAAGAACCGCATTTCATACAAAATCCGTGTTTAGGATTACACGCATAACTCGAGCGTTTGATTTATTGTTGGAAAATCGTTTTTTTTTAAAAAAATTCAAAACATATCATCAACACAATCAAGGTAACTCTCAATGATCACTTAACATCTAATGATGATGAGAAAATCCTCGAATAAGTGTGCCCTCAACGGTTTTAAATCGAATCCATTAACGCTAAAGAGGAAATAATGGATCACCTGATCATTTTACATCCCATATTCTACACACATCATTATTGATTCCCTTCATAAAAGTAATACAGGTTGTATAAGTGGTAAAAGAGTGAAAACTCACTTGATAAATATGATTCAGTTTAAATTGTTTCAATAGCAATAATAATATTCCAGATATAGCTTTAACAATAATCTCTTTATGACGATCACGATCAACATTATATATTGCTGTTGAAACTGGATATGTTCTGAAAGAAAATGAAGAAATTGCTTTAAAAAAAGAACTCATAGGAGGTTTATTGAAGTTGAATGAAAAAATCAGACAGACAAAGAGACAAAATCATTGTAGAACAACGCACCACAATCTGAAGATAACGGTTAGTGCGAATCATAAATCTTTACAAGATGTTAAACAGTGAATGCATCTGCGTATGAATTCTGCTTATAGTCTATTTGATTTAGCATGTATTTTGTTGCTTTTATCATTTCATGGCATGATCTCATCCTCTTTATTTTTTCTTCGGATGCCCGACTGTAACTTGAACCTTCGTTTGTCGTCATCCCTTTTATTTTCTTTGGTGCTATAATTTCTGAATCGGAGTCATTGATTAGACCAACTTGATCGGCCACTATTGGCATATGGGCTGATGTGCCGATGCTTCATTATTGTCCACAGTTTCTAATTCGAAGTTAACGATGGATAGTAGCTAGGTGTGGAACTCGTCAGCTGGATGTGCTTGCTTCTCAGTGAGTTATGTTGTTCCCACTAGGACTCGAACTCACTCCTAATGAGAACATCACTGTCTGAGAGGCAGATGCATCCAGTTGCCGATTCCCGCATATGACGAAATGGGCGTTCTGGATTCCACTGCTAACCACCATCCAACACTAGCTTCTGTGTATTTCCTGGGGTTCATATGCTCGTCAATTCTTAATTGTCGTTTGAAATTCGGCACAGCCTTCTGTTGTTTATTTTGTTAATGATGCACTTGAACAGTGACGTTGCAATATACACTTAGAAACCTCGCGATTTGAGGTTTATAAAGAAAAAAACCACTGTCCGGAATTACTTTTTCGTTTTTTACTTTAGGGCAGAGGCATTATACAGTGTTTCTTTAGGATAATACTATTACTTTACAAAGGATTATGATTGAATAATATGCCATCTATGTATAGAAGTTGAAGTAGAAAGCTACTAAGCTGATAAACAACCATCAAAATATTAGTCTAATCAGAGGTTAACATTCTTCAACAATACTTTAAGAGATATTTCGAAGACTCTTGTCCCATTAAACGACGCGACATCTGGAGTAGATGATTAGATAATAAAATCAATTAGTTGGACAACTACACACATCTAACAGCAGTAAGCAAAATCACAAATAAAATAAGCAGTTGTGAAATTAACTATTAATTACCATATACTTACGGGTATGCATCAGTTACGGCTTCGCCCATAATGTTTATCGTCTCACTATCAGTATATGTTGTCGGACTGGCAGCCAAAAGAATTTTCAGTAAAGCAATCTATGTATGGAAAAAAGTAGTGACGTAACAAGTTACCATTATGTAATACACAATACGTGTATTGCCAGATGAAATACACATAACTTATAAATAATAAAACTTTCCGGTTGGTATTCATCATGAGCTGATTTCACTTGCAGAAACACTGGAAATCTGGGGGTACTGAACAGCTGTTTCGTTCCAGGACAGGACTCCTCAACAGTGTGCACCCATGACCCGACGAGATACTCAACCATGGGATTGGGTGGAGGTCACTCCATATCGTAAATTAACAGAAGTAGGAAATTTGGACCACTGGATTCCAACCCAGTGGCTCGATTGTAACGTGCTGGTCGTGGAACCTGAAAGTCCTAGGTTCAATCCCTGGCGGAGTCATGAGTGTGCACTGCTGAGGACTCCATACCGAGAAGATACGGCTGTCTAGTGCTCCCAGGTTTCTTATGTTTCTTCAACTGATGTTAATCCATTTTGAATTGCAGATATTTGTACTGGCTGACTAAACTACCCCCACCGAAATCCTGTTCGATCTTCTATTTATTCACCAGTCCAGACAAGACGCTGCCTGTTTCACATCATTACCTTTCGATACCGTTATGATTAAGAATTAATTAGATGCAATAATGATCTCGTTTAAGAATGTTGTACAGGGAGTTAATTTGTTGAAATACTACGTGCTTGAGAATTTCATACATTACTACGCATTTAAAATAAAGGGATTATTATTACTAATTGTAGAAACTTAGTAATATGCCTGAAAATCGACCATAATTTCGCAAAAGTATTCACGCTTTGGTGTCTTCTATAACTTGAGCATATTTTAGTTTTCAAATCGCTTCGCCTATCATAAACTTTTGTCTGCTTCAATGATATCACTTTCTCTATACCTACTTGTCTTTGCATGCTGCTGTTGAGTTTGGCAACCTGAACCAATGCACTTTGTAAGAGATTCCACTTTGATTTTATCAGTTTGTTTGATGACTGTTATCAACTTTCGATGGAATATCATAAAATGAGATAATTGAGACAAACTCTAGACATAAAGATAAATCACCTAATCAATGAATAACGGAACAACACCGACTTACCATATATTGTGGCAGTAAAGGATACATAGCTCGATAGAGTCGTTCAGCTGGTGTATCTGGCAACGACTCGCCTGACTAAATAAAACAAGAATATAAAAATAAATATTTATGTTAAGTCTAACAGTTTTTAAACAACCTTTATTTTGATAATAGGTGATGAATAGTTGAAGGTGGAATGAAATTTGGACCGTGGCAGGATTCGAACCAGCGACCATCAGTTCAAACCTTGAGGCAGCCAAAATTTTCATTTCACCTTCAATTATACATCACTCAGTATCAATACAAGTCTGCCAAACCACGGCCATCTCAGACAGTGAAACTGATAACCTCTAGCTTATTTGACAAAGACAAGTGATGAATTTCATCGAGAACTTACATCACATAGAGAATCATTAGAAATCACGACGCATTTTAAAATTATTTCGTTAAAGTAAGAGACATATAAGAAGTGCATAACCATTGACGGAATAATTACGAATATCAGTTAAAGTAAGTAGAAAAACTCGTGTCATACTGAATTCTGTACACTGAATGGTTACTGGAAGAGACGAACACCAATGTCATATGTTTGCCCCCTACCACCAAACAGAATCCTTTCCAATTGAAGCCTATGACAAGAGGCATTCAAAATTTTCCTAAGCTTTCAATGCCCCATGATTCCTGACTGAGTGACAGGCAGATAGACAGACAGATAGATAAACGAGATGAACAAAATCAATGTAGAACCTTGCACACAAGTGCGTCACCTCAAGTTGCCACACTTCATAGTAGTACACAAAGAACAAGTGGATAGAAAAAGGGCAATATCAAAGTAGATAATGTTGTGTGAGAGAATAAACAATCTGACGATAAAAGTTACTGCAAATATTTAAGCTTTAGAATATGTCAAAAAGTGAAAACATCTGAGTCACTGGAATCGATTTTCTGTCATGTCATCAAGAGTACTCAACCACTGATTCCCGTTATCTCAGGGACTCCAAATAGGAAATCTACACCCGTGTACGTGACTCAGACAGAGAGTCACACAACTCATCGAATAGTGGCACAGATTCGTCGCAGAACAACACCACCTTTGTGACAAGATATATTATGCTATTACCTTGATAAGACACAACGTTTCTTACTAAATGAAGGGTGACCACTGCTAACCATCACCAGCAAGCAAATAATAATAATAATGGTAATTACTAACCATAGACAAAGGATTTTGAGCTATTATATTTTCTCTTTCTATTTGTATTTCTCCCAATGAAATGTAAAGATGCTCACGCATCACACGCACAGCTTCATGAATTGGCTCAGGTAGACCAGCCAAAGAGACTGTATCATTCGGCACTTGGAAACCGACAAACTTTTGGCGGACATTATTCAAGAATGTCTAAAATAGATGAATTAAAATGTTTCATGATAATTCATTACCAAAACATGCAATTCAAAAGCATAAACACTTCTTGTATGAATGTATACTGAGGTCATCAAGCAAATAATGATGAAGTGTTAACGACAAAATATTAACACTTAGGGAACATCAACCCATCTTCATCCCTAGCTGGAGTTACAAATCTTCGACATCGTTTTAGCTCAAACTATTTATTTGATTTTATAGACTTCAAGATCAAAAATTGGTCGTATAGAAGTGAACAAGATGAACATTAGGTAAATAGTTTATTTTTTTTAAATACATGTACAAAATGCCAATAAAGTATAAAAAAATTTTTTAACGTTTCATAACTTTGTGGAAGCTGCTTCCTTAGAGAACATATGCACAGTTCTCACATGCATAAATACCAATTGAGAATAGTCCAAGTCACAGTGTTTATGCATAAATGTATCTATGAATCTTCCCATCTATAACCCATTACATGCCAATGTCTAGGAAGAGGTATTCGTTGCTATATTTGCTAGAGATGCCTGTATCCTTTAATAATATATATATATTACAAATTGTAATAACATTCGCATAAAGCCATAAAAAGAAAGAAGACTGATTAAAGCAAACGATACAGTTGAGATGAATGAACACAAGGTGTGGATATATCTGGGTGAATGTGATGATTGGCTCTGAGTTATATCAACTGGTTTTTAAAAATCGGCCTTAGTTATCATGTACACCCCAATCTGAAGATCTACACACTGCTAAACATAATTTAAATCAGCAGTCAGAGGCTGTGGACGAATGCCACGTTTTAGCCTAGTACCTTCAGTATTTTCCTAACTTCGCTTAGCATAGCACGTAATGGTAGACGGTAAATAGACAAGCTTAGCGCATGTTACGGTCAGCTCAGTCGATGAATATAGTGACTGGTCACTGGAAGGTAATTAACTTCATACTGTCTAGTCCATCATGCCGATCGAATTGTATGAATCACTTTGCAATGTGGTCATACGGATAGGGGACTGACTCACCATCGTAATGCACTGACAGAGATGTTAGTTGGATGGAAGGAATCGAGAAGAACCCTTGCTCAAACGAGGTATCGCGCTTCTCGGCGCTCGCCAGCAAGGCGAATCTGAGACCTCGATGGGTCTGATGTCCCGCCTGAGATTTGAACCTGCATCACCACCCAGTGCTGCAGTCAGAGACGTTACCACTGAGCCATTCAGGCCTAGACTGATTTAGGTTAGCCGAAGTCCAAATAGTTAAACGGTAACGTCTCCTTTGTAAAAATAGAATGTTTGATGGTACATTAATTTACCTCTATATCTTTCTTTTTCACTTTTGGTTTCCATGGCAGACTTTTTTCATGAATGTACAAATTTGATAATCCGGGTAGGACTACTTGAGAATTGGTATTCGACTGATTTAAATCGGATGATGATGAAGCTATTTCAGAAGACTCAAATCTTAACTGACTTAAGTCCAAATTACTACTACTATTATTCTCGTCATTTGATGATACAGGGGAACGTGGTCGAGGCGTATCAAACCCAGAAGTAATTCTTTCCGACGTTGAAATGGATTCTGCTAATTGATTGTTGTTAGTGACAGACGACGATGATGGTGATTTGGAAGAATCAGCAGAGAATGGAAATGTTACTGTTGTCACTACAGATTGCTTTTGTTGTTGTTGTTGTTGCTGCTGCTCAAATGCTGCACGACCACCAGCTAGACAACCTTGTCGAGGAGCTTGATTTGCTAAAGTGAGAAAATAACGTGTGAACTCAGCATGAGTATAACGAAAAGTATTGACAATACACAGTATGTGTAAAACTAACTAATAAAAGATTTAAAAAGTGAAGTTAATGGTCACTGGTGGAGGTTTTAAGCGACAGGTTCATGATTGTCGAGATGAAATCATACTTTCGACTAGTGAGTCATGACTGCAAATCCTTCTTCACATACCAAAGTCTAAAAAAGGAGATAGTATCGTCAGTTCAATATTAGGTTTCTTTATATGATGTATAGCATACAATGATACAGTAGTATTCACTTGATGACGTTTCCAACATATATCACTGCTCACATAATCATATCAATGTAGTCACACCACTTTCAACAACCGATTTTTATAGTCCCATAGCTCACCTCATATTTTTTACTTTCAGCGGAAATAAAATTTTCCGGCATAGGTGTTTCATCAATCCCAGTACATGTATTGGGTGTTGATTCAATGAACAAGGATTAAGTAGTCAATCTGTCTCTCCACTTAGTTATATTGAACTTGAGTACAGAGGTTTTATCCCACCCTATTGTGTAGTTGTGTGTTAACACACGCATTGCATTAGACCAGTTTTCTAGATTACTGATCCTATAGGGGTCTATCACTATACCTTTGACCGAATTCCTACGATCTGATAATCTATTTGGCCCCGATCGCTTATGTACTTGACCTCACATGGAATTTGGTAGATTACATTATTTTGCTTAATTGGATCTATCGGATCCTTAGGCTGACGAAGCTTATCTTTGAGAAAATTTGTAGTGTTAAATGCCAGCCTTGCTGAAAATCCTATGTAAAGCTTCTGATGTTACTTCCTTGTAAGGTAACTCAATGAAGGCCTTGAACTCCTGCTCGTGTATTCACCATTATTCGTATCACCGTTATTATTTCGTTTCTTAGGTGTTCATACGAATTCCTTAGTAAATGGTAGGGAATTATTAATTAGTGATCTTCCCATTACGTTTGAATTCCTTGTTTGAGTCTTTGCACAGACTAGTGAGTTTTCTGGATTTATTACGTAGACGTTTGCCTAAGCCCACCTTAATTGAAATTGGATGCGTTGACCTGAAGTTTAGATACCTGTTAGAATCTGTCGGTTTCCTGTGGAAGAACACTGGAAGTCTTTGAAAGCTATGTGGAAAGAAACCTGCACATCAGTATTAGGAAGGAAGAAGAAAGAAGACAAGGAATGGATCTCGACGGATAGCTGGAGGCTGATAGAGGAGAGGAGGATGGTGAAGCAGAAGATAAACCAGTGCAAGGATGCTCAACGACAAGAGGAACTGAGCACAATGTATAAAACACTGGACAAAGAAGTGAAGAAGAGTGCACGCAAAGACAAAAGACACTTCTACGAAACACTGGCAAGTGAAGCAGAACAGGCTGCAGGTAAGAGAGACCTGACGACATTGTATCAAATAACCAGGTTGCTATCAGGGAAGAGACCAACACAGATGAAACCAATAAAAGATGAAGAAGGAAATTTAATTACAAAAGAAGAGAAACAGAGGAAACGATGGGCCGACCACTTCAAGAAGCTCTTGAATCGACCACCACCTGCACTTCGTCCAGAAATACCACCTGCAGCCGCTGAATTACAAGTGAACATAAATCCCCCAACGAAAATGGAAGTCCTGAACGCCATAAAGCTACTGAAATGCGGGAAAGCAGCAGGACCAGATGGAATCCCACCAAAGCACTGAGAACAGATGCAGAGACAACAGCGGACATGCTCACACCACTATTGCAGAAGGTGTGGAAGGAAGAGAAGGTACCTGACGATTGGAAGAAGGGTTACCTTGTCAAACTGCCGAAGAAAGGAGACCTCAGTGTTTGCAAGAACTGGCGCGGAATCACTCTCCTGTCCACCCCAAGTAAAATATTAAGCCGCATCATCCTAGAGAGGCTTAAGGATGCACTGGATTCAAAACTGCGACCGGAACAGGCAGGCTTCAGGAAGTACAAATCATGTGCTGACCAAATTGCAACGCTTCGTATCATCATAGAACAGAGCGTAGAATGGCAATCAGCTCTATACCTCAACTTCATCGACTTTGAGAAGGCCTTTGACAGCGTCGACCGAGAAGTAATTTGGAAACTGCTTCAATACTACGGAGTACCGCAAACCTTTATCCGCCTCATTCAACAACTATATGAAGATGCCACATGCCGGCCAAGTAATCCACAATGGGAAGCTCAGTGATGCCTTTGAAGTGAAGACAGGAGTGAAACAAGGTTGCCTACTATCCCCATGATATTCCTTATTGTGGTGGACTGGATCATGCAGCAAACAGTAGGCAGCGAGAAGAAGGGGATACACTGGACGACGGAAAAGAACCTAGAAGACTTGGATTTCGCCGATGACTTATGCCTAATGTCACACAAACTTGAAGATCTGCAGGCAAAAACTAACAAGTTGATAGAAGAGGCAGCTAAGACGGGACTTCAGGTGAATATAGAGAAGACAGAAGTGATGAAGATACCGCACCACCACCATCAACAACAACAACAAACTCCAATCACCGTCAACGGGAGAAACTTGAAGGAAGTAACCTCCTTCACTTATCTAGGAAGCACTGTTTCAACTACAGGCGGGACGGACGAGGATGTCAAAGTCAGCATCGGAAAAGCAAGACAGACGTTCATTAGCCTGAAACCAGTGTGGAGATCTTCTGCACTCAGCATGTGGAACAACATCCGGATTTTCAACACCAACGTCAAGTCAGTGCTCTTGTATGGCTCAGAGACTTGGCGCGTCACGAAAGGCATTTCCAATAAACTACAGACATTCATCAACAACTGCTTACGCTGGCTCGCTACTGAAGATCAGATGGCCAGAAAAAATGAGCAACAAGGAACTCTGGGAACGAACCAACCAAGAACCTATCACGCAACAAATATGCAGGAAGAAGTGGAGATGGATTGGCCATGCACTGAGAAGGCCGACTGAGGACATCACGCGTCAGGCCAGTTGCTCGAGTGGAATCCCCATGGGAAGCGACGAGTTGGACGTCCGAGGGTGACATGGAGGAGGTCATGCGAGGAGGAAATGAGAGCTTGTGGGCTGTCGTGGAACCAGGTTCAAAAGATCTCGGAGAACTGAGGTCACTGGAGACGTGCTACTGAAGCCCTATGTTCCACTAGGAACCCAAGGGACTAATAATAATAATAATACTCAATTTATGTGAGAGGAAACTGTCAATATGTTCCGATTTCAACACAGTAAATGTGTTATCCATATATCACCACCGTATATTACATGAAGGATTAAGTGATTGGGGATATTGCATTCGTAAACATACAACCGTAAAATAAGGTAGGATTAAACCACTGGTACTAAAGCCCGATCTAATTAGGTGGAGGAAGAAATTGATCACTTACTGAATCTCTAGTCATTAAATATACACCCAACACATGTGATAGGAATGATGAAAAAACCTTTACCACAGATGCTGAAAATTTTACTAACAATAAAATCAAAGAAAATGAGGTGAGTGATAGGACTACGAAATTGAGATGTCGAAAGTGACATGGTTAAATTGTATCATTATGTGAACAATGACTTATGCTTGAAACGTCAGTGTCATACACCAAATAAACAAATCCAATATGGAATTACATTCTACCTCATCTACTCAGTTTTACACATATATTAATAGTATCGTTGGTCCTCACACAATAAGTGTGACTGGTGGCCTAATGCAGGAATGTGTAAATGGTTGATGAATGCATTTCTCTTTAGATAGTGTCATCATAAGCCTCCATATAATAACTTTCACACATAACCAAACAAGAAGTCCTCCAGCAGCTTGTTTGTTTGACTTACAGTTTTGCACACAAAAATAACAAGTCAAACAAACAAGAGATGAATACGTTTACTCACGCTAAATGATAGTAAATAGATATGCCTAGCGTATGTCACGGTCAGTATAGTCGATAAATACATTGACAAAACTAACAAAATCAACGTAGAACCTTGCACACAAGTGTATCACATCAAGTTGCCGCACTTCACAGTAGTACACAGAGAACAAGTTGATAGAAAAGAGCAGATATCAAAGTAGACAAAGTTGCATGACAGAATAAACAATTTAAAGATGAAGGTTAGTGCAAATATTCAAACTATGGAAGACGTCAAGGTATGAATGCATCTGCGCCATTGTGATGGATTACTACCCATGTCACCAAGAGTCCCCGACCACTGATTCCTATCGCCTCGCGGAGACCCACACGGCTCAAAACAACAGTTAGTGACTTCATGCACTGGTATCACACCTAAGTCTGGCCACACTGAAATGTCTTCTAACCTAATCCAGCTTCTTCTAGCATGCCACGTACAAGTAAGCGCTGGCTCGGCATGCACAGTACATGCCCAAACCACCAAGAGATTTACATGTCTCGCTTAGTACCCTTCGCCTGACCTCTATATTGCTCACACACTGATTCTATCGAATGTTAACAATGCTACGAAGACATTTGTAATCAAAGCCTTCTAATTGGTTCATGTCGTTTACTTTTAACAGCCACCCCTCATAGCCGAACAACAGGACAGGACGGAGGTCAGTGCAGTATACTCGTCCTTTGAATGATAGTCGGATATCTCACTAGTCGGTGACACAGATGACCAAAATCGGCAAATCCCAAACGGATCTTCTGTATCCCAACTGAAATCCCGTCAGTAACCAGCCCTTTCAGGCTGATCCAACTACTACTCAAGTAGGTGAATTAGTCGACACATTCCACCACTTCACTCCCCACCATTAAAATGAGACTACTTGCACCAGACCAGTTCTACAACATCATCTTACATCTAACAGGTGACACTGAAACGCATGCCAAACATACTCAGATTTCTGCTCAACGCGTTCACAAGGCCCCACATTTCGTCACCGTCTACACCTAGCAAAACAATATCGTCCGCATACTACAACTCAACCAGATGACCTACACGGAGTAAGCCAATCCCTGTTAAGTCACCCCTACACAAAGGTTATATCCATTAGTACGTATGTCTATAAGGTTAATAAGTTAAGTTGGAAGGATGACACTGGGCATCTCTGCCTCACACCACCAGTTGTCGTCAATTCAGATAACAAATCTTCATAAGCCGTTACACGGTAGCAGGATTTCCAGTAGAGAGCTTTGATTAGCGTCATATACTTGCTCGGCATTCTCTTCACAACACCTCACCACCAAGAGTCAAGTGCCTCCCTCAGATCAAGTGTCAGCCGCCCGTAAGTATATCTATGTTCCAGAACCAGCTGGAAAGTAAAACGGTGATCGATAATACTCTCGACCAGGTTTGAAACCTGGCTGGCTTTCTCGAGTTTTCTGTTCTCTACCTCATGTTACGCGTCAGATAACTAGTGAGTCTAGAATCTTATACATAATATTTATCAAAATGATCCCTCCTTGGCTATCACAAGATTTCTTCTCCTTCTTATAGAATGGGATCATCAGTTACCTACATCAGGCTGATAGCACTACCTGAGTCTTATACACTAACCAGTACCTCCTTCACATTAGGCAGCAACTTTCTACCTTTATTCTTGAAGACTTCACGTGGCAAATTGTCGGGTCCTGCTGCTTTCCACTGTTGCGGATTCGACATAGCCTTCTCAAATTTAAAGAGAGTTGGGGGATGAATATCTACGTCCCATTCGGGTTCATGTTCGGCCTGGATGTTGGGTGACTGAGGGGTTGCTGAGGACCAGCTGAACTGTGCTTCAAAGTGCCCCGCCCAACGTTCTACCACCTGTTGTCTTAGAAGCATATCAGGTCATCCCAACCTTTTCCGTGATGGTTTCCCTAACCATTGTCTCCATCTTGCTGGTATCCTTAATAAGCCTAAATAGTTGCTGGCTATTACCCAACGCTGATGCCTTCTCTATCTCTCTCGCGATCGATGCGAAGACTCCTGACTAGTTTATGTTTGAGTTGCTCTCGCTATTCATCGTAGTCAGAGACAGCCACCTGGAATCAGTCTTCTCACATCAATTTGTTGGGATGACGTTGTGAACATTCAGTGACATTTGCTAACCTTCGAGAGTAGCTTACCAACTGTCGTTGCCACTTTTTCTACAGAGGACTTAGTTTCATGCCTTGTTTCCTCAGAATGAGCATTGCTGTTATGTTAAGGTAAATACTTAGCTAACTCCTCCCCAAATACGTACTTTGCGTCCTCATCTTCCAATCGACCATAAACAGGAGTCACTATCACCTGTTCCCTACAGCCAGTAAGGCACAGACTTACACTAGCCCGTGCTAGTGCGTGATCACACTTCGAACTCCTACTGCAGAAAGGACGGTAATTGTTCGCCAACCTTCTTCAACAATAGCTTATAGCAATATGACCCATCTGTGTCCATCATTGGTTTGATGTCGGCGAACGCTATGTAAGGCAGTGTCTCTTCTTATACTCGGAGTTAGTGCTGATTAGAAGCGAGAAATTGTTGGAACGAATTCGCAAGAGACAGTCACCGTTGTTGGTTCGTTGGAATGGGATTCCGTAAATACCCCACAAGATTCCTTTCCAAGTAGCTGTTTTCCCTACTTAAGCGTTAACGTCACTTGCCATTATGATTACATCTGAATGTTTTGCTTTCTGTAGCAAAATTGACAGCTTTTCATAAAATTCATACTTCGAACTACTGTTGGTGGGTGCGTAGGTGGAGATTACGCCTAGGTATCGCCTGTCCCCATGATCTTTCCTAATTCTTACAGGTCCATTCAGTCAAACTGCGCATAGATGGGTGTTGACTGGTATCCAATCGACAAGTCCCCTGTTTGCTCCAAAACCCAATGTCATGTCTACACCAGCGAGTTCACGAGAGCTGCAGTCTCACTACAGTGGCTAGGTGAGGTCAATTTAATAACCACATTTGGGTCTGCATACGTGTTTGAGACACAGCATACATCCATGGCAAGAGGTTCTAGCGTTCTGGCGAGTGATGCTTGGTGTCCGGTTTCAAATAGAGTCCGGACGTTGAAAGCTCCGATATGGGATCGATAGTGGAGGCTTAGGAGACCAGGAATAAGGTTTCTATGGCTTTGATCGTTTGCAGTGGTCGAAGGATAAGAGGTTGGAGGTGTAAGAGGCTTAATGTTTGTGTCAGGAGGTGAAGACAAAGGAAGAGACAAAGTTGAGGAGAATAGGTTATGTCTGGCTGGGTCTTGTGTACTACTGGATACGTGCAGTCAATTCACACTTCCCGGTTGCTCACACTATGAAAGACTAGTTGCTATTAAGGTACCTGAATGAAAAAACTATCTCTGTGATACAAGAACCATGAGACACCTCCTTCAGGTCTATCACGCATAGCCTTTTGAGAGTTGTTGTTTCAGGTTTTGGATGTTCTAACGCCGGATAGAGAGAACCCATACCCCTGGAACCAAAACACCGTGAGGCAGAGAGGAATGTGCTATTTTAGGGGACAACCTTTTATAATTCAGCACCCGTTCCCATAGGGAAGGCAGCATTAGCGTCACACTGCTGTTCTTACGTGAGAAACATCTTACTGCTGTCACACTCCATCCAGCTAGTAGCAGTACGACTTCTCCCTCAGACCCAAACCATAATGTAGCAATTTACACTACAACGGTGACTGCTTTTCGTCTTACGTCTATTCAACAACCCTTTCTAACATGGTAGGACCTCTAAGGAACAAGCGTTTCACCAGTATAACTCGTTGGGTCGTTGTGATATGCAAGCCCGACCACCACATCAAGGTAGAAGCTATTGGTCGGGTATACATTGATTGGTCACTGGAGGGCTATCGACTTCCTGATCGAATTCTATCGGTGTATGAACCTTTTCATATAATATGAAATGAAGTAAATATGACCCATCAAATACTGTTCCATACTTTCTAACAATGTCAGGGATGATTGTCTATTCAAAGGTCGTTCTGTCTATTGCGCAAAACGTAACTCAAATGGTTGTCGAATCTGAATGGAATCAAAGCACTTATTGCTGCCTGAGTTTGTTTAATCGTCATCAATGTGGCCACACATCAAGTATAAGATGAAATCTTTAGATTGTATCATCAAGTAGTAGCGATACTGTTCATCTTCATGTAGTAACAAAAATGTTAGTCAATCAGATTAAAGTGATCTTCATCAGTTTGTTCGAACAAAAACGGACAACTAATCACAAAAGAGTCACTCCAAAGTGCTGCAGGCAAGAGAAGACAATCAACGATATAGTTGTACAACACTGAGAATCATCATCACTAATCTACATAAGACTATACATTAGTGCATGACAATCCAAACTGTCACATCTTAAATACTGAATTCGTTATGACGATTAAGATGAAGATCATGTATGGTTACATCTGCACCACTGACATCGATTACCAACCATGTTACCAAGTCTCCAGCCACTGGTTTCTGTTGTCATGTGGACCTCAACCAGCTAGTCTAGTCTGCATGGATCAGACCGAAGGTCGAGGAGTTCATGCACTAATACTATTTAGTAGTAGCCTTTTCGAAGCCTGAACGTACTACAGCTAAAATTGCGCGACAAGGCAAATGGTGGATAGACATGCGTAACACATAACTCAGTTACCTGGGCCGGTGAAGTGCCAAAAACTTATCAATCGGCTTGGCTGTCTTGCCGAGTATTCTTCGTCTTGCCTCAACTATATTCGCAGAAGGATTTCACCAAATGGGAGTGCTATGCCAAGAAAACACGTATGATGAGAACACTGTAACCGCTTCACGTCTTCTACTTTTAACGACCATGTCCCACAGGCGTATAACAGGACAAAACAAACTGCAGTGCAGTATACTCGTCAGTCATACAACAATCGATCACATGAATAAAATAAAATAAAACATTTCCAATCACTGGACATACACTGACTAAATACTGGATGCCGGTTATTATTACGAGGTATTCTAGCAAGTAATTGATCCGTTGATATCGCTGGAGGGCTATTAGCACGAACCCTACGAATTACTTGTGTAGAATCCTCAACAAGTGGTGGTAGTCCATAACGAGCACGTGCTTGATTTTTACGTGTGAATAAACTGGTTACAGGACCCAAAGTTACCTATATATAGATAGCAATAGAACAAATATTCAGATTTATTGCCAAAACTAAATTAGGTAACTATAACTTGAAGTTTAAAACCATAATAATTGTTGGATAGAAATAAAGTAATGTATGTATGTAATCGGCCATTATGTTATCTAGTGTTGAACAAGGCATACTTACAGAACAAAGCGAAAGCGATAATTTATTTTTTACAGGTAAGAAATCAGATAAGTGAAATAACAGTAAAGAAATCTACTTTGTTAATTTAGGCATCTGCATTTTTGTCATTATCGATGCCAATGCCTTCCAGCACAGTATACCTCAGTAAAGGTCAGTGTAAATCTACCGACAGTTCCATTTTGTCGAATCTAGTTGACAGTGGACAATACGTAGAACCAAAAGATTCATTTGCCATAGTCTAAAAAGGGTTTGAGTAGACATTCATCTAGTAGTTCTAGTGCGTAGCGTATCCGGAAGTCACTTTTTCATTCACTGTTTTTACTAACTTCTTAGTTTTTTTACTGGTATTTTTCGTCTTGATTCCGATTCACACTAACTTATCCACCTTGGTAGAGCATTGAGTCTGTAACCCTGAAGTTGCTAGTTTGGATCCTGCCACGACGCAGATTTTCATCCAATCTCCAATGGTCACCTAATATAAGTCTGCCAAACCCCGCCTATCACTGATAGTGTTTCTTATGTAACTTCTATTTCTATGTATTATTTTCCTGATTACAACTTACTAAGGATTATAGTTTTGAGAACTGATAATGACATTTTCTCCGATGAAATGTACACACTAATTAATGATTTGAATGTGATTGTACAGCTTTTGAAAATGATATCACAGGAAAATAATTTGTTCGGTAAAATCTTTCTCTACTGGGAATCTTCAAAAGTCATTATTACTATTTTTTAATGAGGTGAGATAAATTTTGACTTCTTCACTGATAATCTTTATATCCATCTATTGTCTTTCAGTTGACTGAATTGTGATAGCAATAGTAGGTTGATTAATTATCAGTCAAGTTATACATTTGTTTTATGCAATGGAATTAGTTTCAGTTGAGTGTAGAGTGTAGAAATATGCCTTAAGGATAGTAGGCATTTATTTAATTCGACTCTGGATAGCAACGGAAAACTACAGGTATCAAACAATAACTGATATTCATTGCACAGGAGGTGGCTCTCAAGTTCAAGTGGCCTAGTAGATAGTGCTTTGACGTTTAAAGCGATGGTTGCTGGGTTCGAATGTCAGTGAGAACAAAAACACTCACTGAGATGTAGGTGCATCCAGCTGACTAGTCCTAAATAGGATGAGACGCATGTAAAGCTGAATCCTAATGCAAGTCACCAAGAAGAATACTCGGTAGTATCGAGGTATCAGCATTGGAGCCCATCTGCCAATAGAAGTAGAGCGATTCGACTCTGTATAGCAACGGGAAATTACAAGTATCAAACTGCTACGATACTTTATTGAGTACTAGACTGAGTCATACTTGCCTAATACTCACACAGAAGTCGATAGAGTCTTGGCCAAACCAGAGACCCGTTGATTTGAAAGTCAAGTTCCTAAGCCGATGACCCACATCTCCAGATATGATAGTATCTACGTTACCAATTCATGTAATATTCATTACACAATCTTTTCCTAATTACCGTTTAGCGGTATCTACACACAGTTGCAACAAAATGCATTTCAAGACGATATTCATAATAGACTGACATCAGTTGGAGAACCATTGCTGGCAGCGGAAACTCAAGCTTTTGGGCTCGATCCCTGGCGGGGTCGCGGCTGAACACTGCTGTGGAGTCCTATACTAGGAGGGAACAGCTGTCCAGTGCTCCCAGTTTTCAAATGGTTCTCCAACTGATATCAGTCCACGATGAATATCCACCTGAAATCAATGAATAAATCCCCACAAACGTCAAAATTGAATTAATTTAGTGTTCATTAATGACTCGCTTCAAAATGAGATTCTTGAAGTTCTGATAAGTCATGACCGGTAAGGTCAACCAAATAGAACGCGAAGATAGTTACTTAACGACAGCGTTGGATGGAGGTCGCGCAATATCGTGAACTGACATAAGTAGCAGATGTGGACTAATAGATTCTGTCCTAGCGGCCCAATGGTAACTTGCTGGTCGCTGAACCTGAAGTTCCTGGGTTCAACCCGCGGCGAGGTCGTGGGTGCACAGTGCTGAGGAGTCAAATAATAGGTGAAACAGTTGCCCAGTGCTTCGCCAACTAATGTCAGTTCATGATGAATATCAACCTAAAATCGATAAAAAAAATCCCCTCAAACCTCCAAATAGAATGCATTTCTTTACTTTTTTAAAAGATTGTTTAAGATATTAAATCAGTTTGAATCGCTAATCCATACATACATGATCACCCTTTTGCATGTTATTAAATCACCTGTTAATCTGACTGAAGGTAGAATATAATTTTGATGATGACAATGTGGAGACCGTTTCGTAGAATTATTCAGCAAACAGCAAAACTTCATTATCAAACATGAATAGTTCATAGACCATTTACTAAAACACAAATGGCAGCATTATTTATTGATAACTTTAATTTCTCGTTGTTATACCGAGTCAAAGAGATCAACCCGTGTTGGCATATGAGCTTCTATGGAGATGCTTCAAAACTACTGGAAAAGTTATGATGTTAAAACTTGCTTGGGGTACTGTGCTAGCAGTGGAATTCAGGTCCTGCATTTTCTCTTATTTGTGACTCCTCAAGTGAATGTATCTGCATCCCTGCAGGTTCATCCAGCTGACGACTCGTATATAGGATAAAACACGTGTGCCTGATTTCCAGTGCTGTCAGTCACCGCATCAAACAAATTCTTTATGCATTTCATTCACAAAAGCGTTGAAGGAGAACTTTAATAACACACAAAATATGAACAAACCACCTGAAAGGAAAATATGTGGATATGGGCATTCAACTTACCAGTAAGATTTTCCAAAGTAGTAGTAAAACTTTTTTCATTGGGAAGTATGGGTTATCACCACTACAGAAACTATGAACCATGTCAAAAAGAACAATAGCCAGCGTTAGATTACCATCGTTTCCAATAGGTGCAACTGTCGGTTAATGAAATAATGCATCATTTGAAAGATGAACAGTAAGAGAGACAATTGCATATTTAAAAACTTAGCGAAAAAATGTTTTTAAAAAGTGTTTAGTTGTTCTTTTGACAGTTTTTAGTATTCAGATGAATTCGCTACATGAACTGAGACTGTAGTGAGCAAACGTTCGCCTTACAGACTGACTAGACTTGATTTTGATACTGATGATGGATGCTGGCTAGCGGTTAAATCTAGGAGGCGCGTTTCTTTCTATTAGGGGTTCATCAGGTGGATGCACCTGCCGCTTCCCACTGACTGGAGTTGTTCGAACTAGGACTCAAACCGAGGACTAATCGCTTCGAACGCCAGAACGTTTTCCACTAGGTCACCAAGTTACCATAGCCATTCTTTGTGCAACGGGAATAGTTTATATGACTTTGATTGTATCATCTCATCATTGATTGAACCGAAATGATTAGTCTCTATTGGCATATGGGCTTTTGCACGAATGCCTTCATATTGTCCGTATTTTTAATTTTAATCACAATGATGGATAGTGACTAGCAGTGGAATCCATGGGATAATACAAACAACATCATACTAACCACGTTTATTGCACAAGGAGTGGCTACCATAGTCATGGCAAAACGCAGGAATTAACGAGTGAATGTAGAGGCTGAGTTATGCTAACAAGTTCTACCTTCCTCATTTACTTGAAATCTGTGGAATGAAATAGGACGAAAAAAGATTAGAAGAAAAGCATAAACTTGGATGGATCGTACTTTGATATTACACATTGTAATTTCCCGTCGTTGATTGGACCAAATCAGTCAGCTACTACTGGCATATCACCTCCTAGATGGAAGTGCCGGTATTGCTACTCTTTTCAATTGGATATTGATAGACAGTGGCTGACGGTGGAATCCAGGACGCGCGTTTCCTCCTATTTGAGGCTTCATTTTTAGAAATCAAACGTTTGATCTAATGTATCATCAATCTCAGTTTTAACACGATGCAAATTATTTGACTGTATAAAACAGATTCCTTCAAAGTATAAGCACACTTAAACGGAGATAAAAAATTGACAAAAAAGAATTACTTGTTTTGATCTGTAGTCTATATATGAATGAGATACAAATAACGATAGAACAATGACACCTCAACAGAATATTCAGTTGACACCAGATAAAAAACACATGAATTGAAAGTATACTGCTACCGAATGGTGCGAATATAGCTGAAAGTCCAGTCATTTACATACCTTTTAAATGGTTTTGACCACGGAAAACAAAACAGCTTACTCAAAGTGCAAAATGAACCAATCAGGGTTTAGTATTTTAAACCGCCGTGGGAGCAAATAACTTGGCGTGAAGAGAAAAAGGCACGAAAATGGGTTGAAATTTTAAAATGATAATGCATACGGATTATAAGCTAGTTTTTTTCGGGATTAGATATACCTTACGCAAGTGTTAACTCTTTTCGATGAATTCATAAGAAAGCAAAGTTTTAGACTATGATGTGGTAAAAAAAATGCGTCAAAAATTTCTTTAGCATCACACTGAAGAAGCTTGTCTTACAATTTGGAGGGAATATAAAAAACGTTATGTGGTTTACAATCATTAAAGGTTCGATGAAAATATAATCGTATCAAGGAAAGCAAAAGAAGAAACCTATTCGAGAATAATTTTCCTTAAACACATACTGCACCGTAGTCCGTTATACGGCAGTGAGACAGCAGTTAGAAGTAGAAGATATGAAGCGGTCAAAGATGTTTTCATATCATTGTTCACGTTCAGTGAAATCACCGTATGAGTAATGTTGAAGTCAGGCGAAGTGTAGTAAGAAAGACAGGCAAGTCGACTGATGAAGTTGTGAAGCTTCATCGGCTAAGATGGCTTAGACATGTACTGTGCATGTCGAACCACCGCCTACTTTGACGTGTCATGCTAGGGGAAGTTAGATTAGCTTGAAAGAGGGTTCACGGTGGTTAGACCACGACGTAGCACTAGTTGGTGAAGTCTGTGACTTCTGATCAGAGTCGTGTGAGGAGATGTAGACTGTGTGGTTAGGGTCCTCGAGATGATAAGAATCAGTGGTTGAGAAATGCTAGTGATATGGCTGAAAATCGGTCACAATGGCGTAGATATATCCACTCTTTGACATCTGAATTGCGAATATTCGGGCTAACTTTTATCTTCAAATTGTTTATTCTCTCACACAACTTCGTCTACTTAGATATCACTCTTTTTCTATGGACTTGTTCTTTGTGTACTTCTGTGGCAACTGTGGGGCAATTTTGAGGTGATGCACTTGCGGACGTGGTTCTATGTTAATTTATTTTGTCTGATCTGCCTTGAATATTGGCAATATTCAAGAGAAGCTTACAGTATTTAAGAATGAAATATTAAAACGGAAAACTATTAACTGAACGACCTACCTCTTATGAATTATTAGATCTCAGTAGGTTTCTTCGGTTCTTTGATGAATTCACTTATTATTTATTAAACAGACTTTATATGAAAAAGTCCTATTTGGTAGACAACCAGATTCACTACCGGACTTAAACCAGCAACCTACACGACATCAACTGGTTATCAAAACGGCTGAGGAATGATACTTGACTACCGACAATATCTCCTTTTCAATTTAGTCATTGGTTGTTAACTTGCTCATTTGCCAACTCGTTTCACAGTCTCGAATTTCTATTTCCGTTAAGCAGTCGTAAGACTAGTCCAATTTACTACATTTATAAATTATTTGTAAACAATTCATGCATATATTATAATGTAGTCAAATTTTTCATGATCAAGATTTGACGCTAGATAGTGTTCTGCTAAAATTATTTATTTACCTACCGTTAACGCAGCAAACCTGTTATACTCCATCCCATTCAACTAAATTGTTTAAGACAAATTAGTGATTCCCATGTATACATCGTATTTATCTTGATATGATCATGATAATTATTTGTAGCTGAAATGTAGTCTAGAGAATAATAACAGACAGACAAACAAAATCAACGTAGAACCACTCAACCGTGCATCACTTCAAATTGCTACACAGTTGCTAAATGTGTGGATAGAAAAAGAGTGATATCAAGGTAGACAAAGTTGTTTAAGATGGAAGTTAGCCCGAATATTCAAGATTTAGAAGACGTCAAAGAGAAGATATATCTGCGCCATTGTGACCGATATTCAGCCATGTCACTAAGAGTTTTTAACCATTGGTTCCTATCGTCTTGAAGACCTCAGCCAAGAAATCTACATCTTCATGGGTTGGTGCCGCATCTTGGTCTGGTCATCCTGGACTCTCTTCCAACTTCTAGGTGGTCTTGGCTTCGCCTACTCAGTACACGTTCAAGCCATTACAGCCGATGAAGGTTCACAACCTCATCAATCGACTTGCTTGTCTTGCTTATTACCCTTCACCTGACCTCAAAAATTGTCACACGGTGATTCCGCTAAAGGTGAGCAATGATGTGTAAACAATACTGTATCACTGTGTATTTTATCACATTAACTCATTCAATACAGAAATACACTTTCCCACACTTTTGAATACCTACTCATACTAATTCCTTTTTGTGTAATTGATGGGTTTTCGGACATTTAGTAGATATAACACACAAGTAGAATAAGATTAGAAAAATACTAAAATGCGTCATTTTATCCTTTACATAGAATACTATCTGCCATGAATTCAACTTCTCAATTGAGGTGGTCAATGTCTTTAATCCCCATAAGGACTCTTTATACAAAGGATTAAAACTAGTCTAAGAACATCAGTTCACAGCTTCATAAGTTTGAAATGTACTATGAACATATTCGTGAAACTGTGGCTCATTGGTTTAGGGAGATGAATTTTAACCGACGGGTCACGGATTTGAGTCCGCTTTTTCGCCTATCCAGTGGGGTAAAGTAGCCCGGTAATAGTATTATCGGCTTTCACGCAATGGGTGTGGCGCATTGCCTACTGCACGAGTGTGCACAAGGTTGCTGAGTGCATTTTTTCTTCGTGAGAGTTTTGATCAAAGTATGGACATGACTTTGCACTTGTTCGTTATCTTCATCTGCGTATAGTAAATTGGATAGCAGATCCCGATTACGAGTTCGGCAACTGCGAACTCATGGTTATTTTGTGGCTGCCGTAATTAAGATTTCATTCATTAGAAACCTAATACAGCAATTTTTAATCAATAGGAAACAATAAGAAATAATTTTTAAAAAGTGAGATCAGACCAGACAATGTATGAAACAAGTATATACATACCTAAATCTTCAACAAATTGTTCCTTAACTTGGCCATTGGATTGTTGCTTGTCTGATTATTTGCATCTACTGGTGGTGTATCTCGCCCATTTATGAATGAACTAGACTGCTGCTGCTGAGCACGATCTTTCAGCATTTCATCACGTACAGTTTCCACCATAATGTATAAGATAGAAAGTGTTATACGAAAAAGTTCACTGTCGTCTGGGTCAATTTCTAATCGTCGAGTTGAAGTAACTTGAGAGGTTTGTTTTTTATCTGTTTTGGCTGATTCATTACCAGCACTAGTTGCGTTACCACTACCACCACCTCCTGTCAAGTTTGTAGCCCATGAACTAGAAATACGAATAAGTCAGTGAATTTTATATATAAATCAGAAGTCTAATGGTTATGAATACATGTGCTTAAATTGCTAAAATCAAAGTAGAAGTTGAATATTTACCATATTTACCTCAAAATAATAAATCTTACATCAGTCGTGAGGTATTGTTTTGCTTGGATGGGCAGCTAATCAACTAATTCAGTTGGTGTCTTTTATACTTATGATCTTACTGTCATAAAGATGAGTACACTCACTTACTACACATTTCTGACGGAAGTTCTGGGTGACAAAAGCTGGCTTAACTGAGGGAGAACATCAGTTTTCAGAACTTTACAGAAACACTGATAAAGAGTGCCAATAGATACGAAAGCTAGATTTACAGTTCTTTGCTAACTACTTCCGACCAAGTACAATATACAGTACAACATATCTAACTGATGAGTTACCCGTAGAGCTGTAGCTCATTAGTTAGGAAGATGACCATCAACGACTTGGTCACGACTTCGGGCCCTGCTCCTACGCCTACCGAGGTTTGGGCAGCTAAGTAGTATCACCAAAAGCCCTCAAACAATAGGCGTGACTTATCGCTCACTGCGCAGATGTTCACAATGTGGCTGAATGGGTTCCGTTTTCGATGAGTCATCTAGCTTGGCGGTCATCCCACTGTAAAATTGTCTGACAGTATTCTTTCAGCATGGCATAGGTTTCTATACAGAAACCGAATTGTGTTACTATGTGATAATTTTTAAAAATGTCTTACACTTAACGCTAATATAAAATGAGAATAGCACTCAACAACAACAAAAATATATAATACTCAAAAGAAAATCAGCAATACACATCCCAGTATATCTCGGATATTAATATCTTTGAGTATTGTGTATCATAAAGATTAAGAAAAACCCCAAGTGATCCTAAATAACACCAGAAGTATCTAGAAGGAATTTTATTTCGAGGTAAAAATGGGGAAGATATTTGAATTAGCGTACCAATCAACTACCACATAACATACAGACTCTTTTATTCACTCATTATCTTGACAGGAAGTCATAACCCTTATTAAATGGATGCCTGGATAAATGAATGAATGAATGAATGGATGAATAATAATAATACAACTAGCCAGTGGTGATAATCTTACTAGCGCGATACAATATCGCTAATAAACCCATCTATCCAACACATGACTAGCAATCAGAATTCTTTAATTTCATTTTGTAAAATGGGCCAGGTGACGAGTCCAAAACAGGACGAAACGCACGTCCTGGATTCCACTGCTAACCAGCAAGTAGACTACAAAACCGAAATTGTTCTTGAAAGAATTTGAATTAATCTAAACTTTCATTTTCCGTTGATGATTTTATTGAACCAACTAATTAAAAGAGGAGGGACCACATTTATTCTTGAAATCTCTTGTTAAAGATTGGTAAAGTGTAAATGTGACTAATTTTGTATAGCTATATTTGAGCAGTTCAAATACTGTTTCACTACTGGGTCATAGATTCAAACCCTTCGGTCATCAACTTCAATCTGAACACTTACACATAGTGCCATTAAGTTTCGTAAAACAAATGTACCTTAAAGTCTATTTACCAAAGTTTTCTACATGGTTAGTGAGTTACGTTAGTTCAACGAAAATAATGACAGGTACATCGTACAACCATCAAGCTGCTTACCTAAATTATGATAATAGCAAGAGTGAAACCGTAAACGTACAATATGCAAAGCATTAGAGTCGCTTATATTTGCGGATGGAAGGGGGGCGGGGTAGAGAAGGTTAGTAATTATGTGTAGTCATTGAACTTATCTATCCATTTTTCGGTTCAGCTCCTAGTTGCAGGCTGGAGCTTATCTAATATGGATATTATCTTCCGAAAACTTGGTGGATCGGCCCCACTCCCCACCGAGCAGGGAACATTTAAGCAACGCTTTCGCCTGAAAATGAACATTTCTGCCAGAGCATTCTATTAACGCACCCTCAAAGTGATTAATGTCATCCCAGAACCCTCCCAACTGTAAGGTTTCAACGGATCCATATTTGCCGGATAATCAGTTCGTTGACTGTACTTACCTACCTAGGAGCAAATGTGTGTGGAACGTGTCCCACTGAAGTTTCCACAACCTTGCAGACTTCAGTGCAGCTCACCTTCTCGAAGTGGCAACTCACCAGGCTACCGATATCACCAAGACTAAGGCTAGTGACACAGACATTCCGGACCGAATATCGCTCGTCTTCGTATGGTAAGACTGTATACGCCTCTGGGGATTGCTTTGACAACAGCGACTACCAAAATTAGGAGGCTGGATTCACCTTACTCTTGGGTTTCACTGCGCCCAATACACTGAGCAGAATTCTGACGGTTAGCTAGACCATTGGTGTTTTGGAGACTTGCACATGGGTCGCACTGACAGCAATTACTTTGATGGCGCATTGGTGAGGTCACGAGGAGACTCAGTGTCATAATTTAACTAAGCCTGATCTGTAATACCCGGCGTATAAACCATCTCCAGCTTTCTAAAGCCAGCAGTACAAACCCAGCAACAATCAACTGCGCTATGTAGAGCTTTCTTTACGTTAACAATTTGGCACGTGGCTATGGAGATCTAGACCACCTCAAGAGAAGCATAGTTACTTTCGGGGAGGAGGTGAGTAATGATGTGTAGTCATCAAATTTATCTAAATTCAGCATATGACTAGCATATTCAACTTACTCATAATCAATCTCATACAGTAGTAATTGTGTAACAGCATGGAATACGCCTGTTTCAATGAATAAATAAACATTACGCCTAGCCCAAGTTATTTGATCCTCTTCCAATTCACAATCGCCAAAATTTCCCTGTAATAAGTATAATAGTGATCGCTTAGCCGCTAGACGCAAGAAATAATCTTTCGATTCTAAATCATCCAACAGTCTTTGAATGCATGAATGACGTTCGGCGCTGCTGATTTCAAACCATTTAGCATGAACTGGAACTTCAAGATAAAAAAAATAACGGACACGAAATCACATACAAACACTATAGCATAATACACTGATATATACAAGCTTAAAAAATTATAAGATAGCGATTTTAAATGTGCCAGAAACTGATCTTCTATGCGAAACTTTTATGAAATGGCTTAAAGTATGAGGGTGGAAAAAAAGTTCAACAAGCACTTCGAAGCAGAAAAGTGAGAATACATCTAGTAAGTATAAAATGCATTAGTCGAATCGAAATGCATTCAGCAACCTTGGGCACATCGTGCAGTAAGCGACGAGCCACACCTATTGTGTGAGGGATATTGATGACACTACCTGGCCGCCGGAAATCCGTTAGGTGGTTGAAAGTCATCTCCCTAAACCAATGAGCCATAGCTCCACAAAATGTGTCAATACTGACTTAGAATAAAAACAAATGCAGTCATTTCAAGTAGGTTATTACGAAAAGGTAACATGTGTTTGATCACCAACTTGTCTTCAAAGAATTGCTGCTTCCATATGGTGTGACCGCTAGGAGTTTTAAATGTATGGGAGGTAAACCACTTGAAGCGTTTATGAATCTGTATAAATTAGGTGAAGAGAAACATTGATTAATTAGTGAATCTCTGTTCAACAAATATACACCCAACACATGTAATAGAAATGATGCAACACCTATGCCAGAGATATGGAGAATTTTACTACCGATAAAAGCGAAGAATATGAGGTGACAGGACTAAAAAAATTAGATGTTGGAAGTAATGTAAGTACATTGATATAATTATAAGTGATAGTTTGTGCTCGGAACATCATCAAATAGATAATACTGTGTCACTGTGCGATATATATTAAATAAACAAATCCAACATGTAATAATATGTATTTCGACGTTGAGACAGTATTTCTGATGAACGTCAACAACAGACAAAAAACAACTCGTTTGTCAGCAATTAAACGCTTTATTACTTCTCCCTTTTCTCATCTTGCAGACGAAATCTCAGCTCTGATACAGAAGACCATTCAGCATTTGTCAATGTACGTCATCTGTGGCTGAGGTACGATATCTGATTACTTCACTAAAGGATGAGTATATTGTGCTGCAGTTCATCCTGTCCTGTTATACGGCTGTGAGAAATGGTCATTGAAATTGGAAGACATGAAGTGATTATAGGGTTTTGATCATAGATGTCTTCGTAGCATCGATCTCGTTTGGTGGAATCATCGTGCGAGCAATGTCGAAGTCAGGTCACAGGGAACTAAGAAAGGAAGGCAAGTTAGAAGATGAGTGGGTTAACGTTCATCGACTGAGTTGGCTTGGATGCGCTACAGCACCGCCTAACTCAACGTGCAATACTAGGAGATATTGGATTAATTTGGAAGAGGGTTCAGGGTGGCCAGACCAAGATGTGGCACCAGTCAATGAAGTCTCTCACTGTTGAACTGATCTGTGTAGAGAGCCACAGACTGCGTAGTTGTGATCCGGGAGTCGAAAAGAATCAGTGGTTGAGAACTATTGGTGATATGGCTGAAAATTGGTCACAATTCAGTCCTTGATATCTCCTAAACCTTCAATATTTGCACTATCCGTAATCCTCAAATTGTTCATTCTTTCACACAACTTTGTCTACTTTGATATCACTCTTATTCTATCCTCTTGTTCTTTGTGTACAATTGTGAAGTGTGGCAACTTGAACCGGTGCACCTTTGTGCGAGGTTCTACGTCGATTTTGTCAGTGAGTCATCGTCTTTAGCCACTTTTCATCATTATTTGTCTCTTTTTGATAAGTTTCTATCGGATTTACTCTGAGGAGTATAACAACAGCTTGAACTGGTGAACTTATTGGCTTATGTTAGACAAAAACACTATGTGGGTTTTACTCAGTTATGAAATACTAATGGAAGTGACAATTAAAAGAGATAAGGTAACGAATGATAACAAATCATAAAGAAATAAGCTCCAACTTCAAGTATTGGCATTCATGATGCTGGGGTTCATCTAAAAAGCTTACATTTACCATTTCTTCTTAAGTAACTTTCGAAGTGATTACGATTCATCTGAAACTCTTCATCCTCAGAATAACTGTATAATTCTATACAAAAAAGATATGTTATAGATTGTTACTAACCATACCAGAAATTTCTACACTGTATTCATCAGCATCATTGTAAACGAAATCTATATCCGTGTTTTGTTCTTCAGCGGTCTGACAAAAAGAGAGCAGTTTTTCCAAATAATATGTAGGCTCAACTTACGGTATCTTCCTTTTTATCAATATCTTCAATGGAATCGTCCATCACAAGAAATCTCCAAAAACTTTAAAAAACAAAGAACATTCGGTTTAATGTATTTGTGGACACAGCTCATTATGAATACGGTCACTGTCAACTGTAGGCCATCATCAGCGGTTTATACGATGTTGCATATGGACAGGTTCAGTATGAAATGCATGCTCAAATTAAGTCCTCGACCGATAGCTGTTAACTTGAAATGGTGGTCAGGCTTCTATGCTGCAATGACCCAACGAGCTGGTAGGATGCTTGTTCCCGCGAGGTCCTACTATACCAAAAAGGCCTTTTAGATAGTGGTTAGACAAAAAGCAGTTACCATTACAGAGTAGATTGCTACGCTATGGAGATTTGAGGGGGAAGTCGTGCTGCTGACTGGACAAGAATGTGACAGAGGTAAGGTGTTTCTCTTGGATGGCCAGCAGTGCTACGTTTATGCTACCTTCCCTATGAAGAAGGTGGGATAGAAAATGTCGGCATAATCTCGTCACTAAACAACATGCTGATGCTTGCGACAGGGATTCATAGTTGGATTCGAAAGCAAAACACCAAAATCTAAAACTTACCAAAAGGCCATGTGTGACCGGTCTCAAGTAGATATCCCTTGAGCTCCGCAGTCACACATTAACCTCTACTTTTGGAATTCCTCAATAAGAACTAGCCTTCTATGGTGTACGCAGCTGAGAAGTGTTAACCACCCACACACTCCCAATAAGTACACAAGACCCAGCCAGACATAACCTATTCTCCTCAACTTTGTCTCCTCCTTTGTCTTCACCTCCTGACACAAACATTAAGCCTCTTACACCTCCAACCTCTTATCCTTCGACCACTGCAAACGATCAAAGCCATAGAAACCTTATTCCTGGTCTCCTAAGCCTCCACTATCGATCCCATATCGGAGCTTTCAACGTCCGGACTCTATTTGAAACCGGACACCAAGCATCACTCGCCAGAACGCTAGAACCTCTTGCCATGGATGTATGCTGTGTCTCAAACACGTATACAGACCCAAATGTGGTTATTAAATTGACCTCACCTAGCCACTGTAGTGAGACTGCAGCTCTCGTGAACTCGCTGGTGTAGACATGACATTGGGTTTTGGAGCAAACAGGGGACTTGTCGATTGGATACCAGTCAACACCCATCTATGCGCAGTTTGACTGAATGGACCTGTAAGAATTAGGAAAGATCATGGGGACAGGCGATACCTAGGCGTAATCTCCACCTACGCACCCACCAACAGTAGTTCGAAGTATGAATTTTATGAAAAGCTGTCAATTTTGTTACAGAAAGCAAAATATTCAGATGTAATCATAATGGCAAGTGACGTTAACGCTTAAGTAGGGAAAACAGCTACTTGGAAAGGAATCTTGTGGGGTATTTACGGAATCCCATTCCAACGAACCAACAACGGTGACTGTCTCTTGCGAATTCGTTCCAACAATTTCTCGCTTCTAATCAGCACTAACTCCGAGTATAAGAAGAGACACTGCCTTACATAGCGTTCGCCGACATCAAACCAATGATGGACACAGATGGGTCATATTGCTATAAGCTATTGTTGAAGAAGGTTGGCGAACAATTACCGTCCTTTCTGCAGTAGGAGTTCGAAGTGTGATCACGCACTAGCACGGGCTAGTGTAAGTCTGTGCCTTACTGGCTGTAGGGAACAGGTGATAGTGACTCCTGTTTATGGTCGATTGGAAGATGAGGACGCAAAGTACGTATTTGGGGAGGAGTTAGCTAAGTATTTACCTTAACATAACAGCAATGCTCATTCTGAGGAAACAAGGCATGAAACTAAGTCCTCTGTAGAAAAAGTGGCAACGACAGTTGGTAAGCTACTCTCGAAGGTTAGCAAATGTCACTGAATGTTCACAACGTCATCCCAACAAATTGATGTGAGAAGACTGATTCCAGGTGGCTGTCTCTGACTACGATGAATAGCGAGAGCAACTCAAACATAAACTAGTCAGGAGTCTTCGCATCGATCGCGAGAGAGATAGAGAAGGCATCAGCGTTGGGTAATAGCCAGCAACTATTTAGGCTTATTAAGGATACCGGCAAGAAGAAGACGATGGTTACTGAAATGATCACCGAAAAGGATAACCTTCCAAGACCGGCGGTTAGGACGGTGGGCAGAGCAATTTCAAGCACAGTTTAACCGGTCCTCAGCAACGCTTCAAATGCCCAGCATCTAACCTGAACCTGATCACGATGTGGATGTCAGTCCTTCAACTCTTCTTGGATTTGAGATGGCTGTATCGAACCTGAAAGCAGCAGGACCCGACAATTTGCCGCCTGAAGTCTTCAAAAAAGGTAGGAAATTGCTACTTAGAGTAAAGGTACGGGATCATAGGTAGTGCCACCAGACTGGTGTATCTCACTGATCAGTCCAGTCTATAAGAAGGCGGGAGAATATTGTGACAGGTATAAGGGAATTAGTTTGGCTAATATTGTGTATAAGATCCTAGGCTTCATAGTTATCCGACGCGTAACTGGGGCTGCAATTTGTCAGCCTTTTCAACTAGTAGGACAATGTCATCTGCGTACTCCAACTCAACCAGATGCCTTCCAAGGATTGGATCACATAGCAATTCATCACGTTACTGTCCCTGAAATAGTTACCTCTAAATGCAGATTTTCATACTAGCTGAACGAACCACCAGCGCCAAACTTAGGAACGGTTTTCTATTTACTCTCACTTTCAGAACAGACAATTCACTAACAACAGCCGATTGTTTCATATTTATGCGTGATACTGTAATTAGTAACATAACAGATGCAATAATCATTTCGTTCAAAAATAATGTACGGGGAGTACGCTTGTAAAATGTTATACAATTAGAATTATAAACTGTATTAAATATATTCTCCAGAATAAAGCGGTTACTATCATCATTTTATTAAAGGTTCAGCGTTTCGTCAGCATCCTCGACTTATTATTTACTATTATTATTACCACTACTGTTATTTACTACAAGTCAACCAGGAGTAAGTCAATTCCTGTAAGGCTGGGGGTAACTAGGGTTATGTCCATCAGTGCGTCTGTAACAGAGTCAAGCAGGAGTGGTGACCACGGCATCTCCAACAGAAACCACTAGTTGTCGTTAATTTAGATGACAACTTCCCACACACTCAAACACGGCTGCGCGGGTTCGAATAGGAAGATGTGATTAGTAATACATACTTGCTCCGTACTCACTTCACAATCAGACACCGCAATACCTCTTGGTCGAAACAGTCAAATGGTGCCTTATATCAAGGGATGTGGCTTGTGTCTGTTGCCACTAAGTATGCATGTGTTCCAGAACTTGCTGAAGGATAAAGATCTGATCAATGCACTATCATCTGGTCTAAATTCTGCTTGGCTTTCTGGTGCTCTTGTTAAGCATCGTATAACTATGACGTTAATGAAACTGACCTTATAGTTATCACAAGGAGATTCCTCTTCTTTCTTATAAACTGGAATCATCAGCAATGAAGACCAGTGATTCACTAACTTCCTTGAACACGTTTGGTGGTAAACCGTCAGATCCTGCTGATTTACAACGTTTTATGTCTGAAACAGCCTTCTCAACGTCAAGTAGGGGAAGAGGAACAGTAATTACGTACCATTCAGATTCGGGCTGCATGCTGGGTAGCTCAAGCGTTGCCGTGGGTCAGTTGAACTGTGCTTCGTAGTGTTCTACTTAACGCTTTAACCTCCTATTCCCACAGATTATAATGGACCCATCCTTTTCGACAATAGTTCTACTGTGTCATCTCATTCCTCCCAGTATACTTGATAACCCGAAATAGCTGTAGGTTCTCACCTAATGCTGATACCTTCTACATCTTTTTCACTTTCATCACCCAAAAATGCTCGGAACCATTGCGAAGATTCCTAGAAGCATATGCTTGAGCCACTTTCGCCTCTCATTGTGACCAAAATCAGCTGGAATGGATCCTTTCGCAACAATCAGTTCGGGTGAGGCTTCTGAAATCCGCTGGCCTCTGATAATCGGATGTAAACTACTGATTGTTGTTACCAATGTTTCTACAGTAAATTGAATATTACACCACACCGCGACACGAAGAGAATTGCTGCCTTGTTTATATGTATGATTAACTACCTCCAAAATTACGCGTTATCACCTTTCAGTCAAACAAACAGGTTTTGTTACTGCCTGATTCCTACCGCCAGTAAGGTGCAAACAAGCACATGCCAATACTGAGGAGTAATTGGGGTCCAGAGTGGTAATCCTCTACCGGTCTCTCTGAAAAGTGCTTATAGCAATATGATCTATGTACTTCCATTGCTGGCTTGATGTCAGCGGACGCCAAGTGAAGCAGCATGAACCTACTGCATCTAACAGTGAGCGATGACAGACTGACTAAGCATGCGTGGTACATGTCCCAGCCAGTTTAGTCGAAACAGCTTCACAAAGATATCAACTGACTTCCTCCTTCTCCGCAGACCGCTAAGGCGACTATGAAGTTGCGCACGTTGCGAAGATACGACACACGCCCTGTGCTACGAAGGCAACGACGGTCACACACCAGAAGCCTTCCCACTTCCTCCCCATAAATCGTCAATTTTCGCAATCAAACAATGGGATAGGGCAAATCGTAGAGCAGAATATCCATCCATATATATGTCCAAATCAACACAGAACCAGGCACTACTGCGCAACGGTCTGAGTTGCCACACCTCATATCAGTATATCAAGTAGAAAGGCAGTGAAGTGGGAGATGCAGAAAAGAAAAGACAGTTAGGAAAAAAACAAAGTACTAAAAGAGAGAAAGAAAGAGTGAGAAAGTGGTGATATTCGGCATAGCGTCGTTAAGATGAGGATAATGTGTGTATACATCTGCGCCACTGACATCAGTTCTGAGCCATATCACCTAGAGTCTCCAAACACTGGTTCCTCTTGTCTCGCGGACCCCAACCACCTAGTCTGCATCGCCCCACATGGCTCAAACCAACAGTCAGAGACTTCATACATTGGTGCCATGTTTTAGTC